ATAAAGAAATCACATATATGTTTAATAATAAATCATACAAGAGGATGCCACTAAGCATGATTTGCTTTGGCAACCACTGGGAAAGTTATACTTTATTGAGGTTGCCTGGGGAACAGCTGATGCATTCTTATTTATTTTCCATTTGCAGTTTTATTCTTCCAGTGAGGTTATATACAAACACTAGGCACAATCATCTCAAAAATAATGTAATAAAAACCGAGAACATGAGAACTCTGAGAACAGGCAAAAGCTAAGAGAATCTCAGCTACTAGCTTACCTTTCGGTTAGTTCCTGCTCAGGTCACACAGTAGAATACAATATACAGTATAACATTACACAGTATAATTAGAGGGTGCCCCTACAAGACACAATAAACAGGAATTGTGCCCATCCCTTAATACTATTGGTGCTGTTAAATATTTTTGTGTACCTTGCTGTGTGCAGAGATCTGCCGATTTATATTCCCACAGACGTGACTCTCTCCAAGAGACGGGAAAGATGCCATCCTAGTTTTGGATTTTTCACTCACAAATTGGACTGCACAGTGGTGAAAGAAGTACAAATTCCACTATTGAAGTGTGACGCAAAAGGCTTCAGTTCTAAACTGCACAGGGGTACCAGAGTATTCTTAGCACCATAGTCTTTGCAAAGACGCAAGGTTGTTTTGGTACTGAACAGAGAATTCCACTGCTCTTCGCTGAAATAGAAAGTATCATGTCTGATTCGTAAGAGTTTCAAACCAAATTTTATGGTATTATTATTATTTTTTTTTTTTATTGCCCTGATTATAGCAACACTCCAAACACCATAACCACTAATGCATGTTGAAGTAGTTATGGTTCCAGGAGTGCCCTGCCCAGGAGTCCCCCACCTTTCCTCCTTATTGTAAAAAGTCAATCTGTTTTAAAAATGGTTTTACTTTTAAACTGGGTGTGGCGAAACCGACCTCGCCACTGGGCATTGGAGAAGACTGATTGCCAGCCTCCTGCCATGTGACTATGGCCCCTGGGATGTATTGCCCTTTAACCCCTTAATGACACATGACAGAAATATTCCGTCATGATTCCCTTTTATTCCAGAAGTTGTGTCCTTAAGGGGTTAAAGACATGATTTGGGCATAATGGATTTGTGTTGTGCTGCTGCTAGCCCTTTTAAGAACCATCTGGGGACATACTGTGGAGTTACTGGGTGGCCACCATTTCCTGTATCAGAAGCACATGGTGAGAACAATGGATGGCGGCCATTTTAACTCACAGACACTGTGTGGACTTTTCAACACGGTGCCATCTCGCCAGTATTTGTTGCACAGAGACATCGTGCGGTGGTTTTGGACTATACAGCAGGGGACACATTATACAGTGATTGTTTTTATTTAGCCTGTATATGTTCTGCAGAATCTGCATTAAACTGTATTTTCCAAAGTACTGAACGGATCTGGGTGAATTTTGGATATGTGGTTCACCCAGATCCCCCAGTTCCAAGGATATTTTTATGGGGTTATTGCATGTTTTGAGGTCCCTGTGATGTGTTTTATGAAACTGTATTTCAGCCAGAGGGGAGGATTTTGTGTGGGAGTGTCTGGGTGTAGTGTATGGATTGATTGGCTGTTTTGTAACGCCCTGTGGGCTGTACTATGTTTGTGGATTGGGAATAAAAGAGACTGTATGTGACAGTACAGAGAGTTCCTGTTTTAACCCTCAAAGTGAAGTGTCGTCTCATTATTGGGGGAAGGATTTATTGTATGCTGTTCCAGTTTGACTGCTAGGAGAGTAAACCTATTCGTATGGTTCCTATTCAACTGTCTACAGCATTCATATGCTTGAGAGCATTCATATGCTCCTACGGTTCGGTGGTTTTGGTGTCTGCTGCAGTGATTGGAGTCCTCAGGAAGTGCTAGGAGCATCCTTTAATGGAGGTACCCAGTCCGGGTGCCAGGTGATCCGTTACACCGGGTTCTTCATTACAGGTTTTAGCTTATTGGCTGAGATTGACTCTCAGCCAATGAACTAGCATTGCAGGGCTTTGCTTAGGAGAGCAGTAGTGGAAGCTGAAGTGGAAATAACACTGTTTTAAATGGTTACTTATTTACAATGGGGGGTACAAGGGTACTCCTGGCACCATAACTACTGCAGCTGTGTGCTGATTGAAGTACTGAGGACAATGCTGCGCAGCAATGGGCAACAGTGATTGGCTTGGAGTGTCAGCTGACTACTTTCAGCCTTTCACAGTGCCCATTGCTGGTATGAATTAGGATGGCTATAAGGAAACGTGCAATCTTTGCCTTAGTTACACCTTCAGGAGATACACAAATGAGCACCAACACTCCTAATATATGATTTGGGTGCAAACTCCCGAGTTTACCTTTCATACACTGTTGGTCAAAGGATACCAAGGAATGAAGTTGGCTTAGTCCACACTAGTGGTAAAAATCTCCTTCTAACATTCTAACATTTATACCTCCAGTTATAAATGCTCTGTATACTTCTAGGAGGGGTCAGGCTGTGCGTGCCAAGGGACCCTCATACAGTGTTTTAAACTGCTTAAAATGGTTTAACACTGAATGGAAGTGCAACACTAATGAACTCAAGGCACTATAACCCAATCCAATGAGATGAAATAGTTACAGTGCTTGCAGTGTCCCTCTGAGAACACACTGGGGGAATAAACAATATTCTTTCCTATTTTGATCTGTATTCCTTGGAGGCTCCTCCAATCCCAACGCACAAACTCAAGGAGGAAGAGTCAGAGTTTAGAGACAATAACACATTGCATAGTTTAGTATCTCACATAAAGGTTTCAGTCTTTCTCTTTTAATCCAAAATACTTATACTCCATATAGAAGAATAAAAGAAATCAAGTTGTATAAATAAACAAAATAAAAAATGAAACAATTTTATTTATAAATGTACACTTCTATTTTAGTATTACTAAAACCGCTTAAAAGTAAAGTAAATATGAATCTGTCCATCGACTTTAAAAGCTCAGCAGTAGCACTATACCTCTGATCCAGCAGTTTACAATGTCAAGTACAATGGGACATCGGTTTACAACTTTAAGGGACCACTATAGTGCCAGGAAAACATACTCGATTTCCTGACACTATAGTGCCCTGAAGGTGCCCCCACCCTCAGGGTCCCCATCCCGCCGGGCTCTGGGGGGTGGAAGGGGTTAAACTTACCTCTTTCTCCAGCGCCGGGCGGGGAGCTCTCCTCCTCCTCCTCCTCCTCCTCCTCCTATCCGCCTCCTCTCCTCCTCCTCGGCTGAATGCATTCAGCCAGTTTCATAGGAAAGCATTCATAATGCTTTCCTATGGACGCTGGCGTCTTCTCATTGTGAAAATCACAGTGAGAAGCGCTGAAGCCCTCTAGCGGCTGTCAGTGAGACAGCCACTAGAGGCTGGATTAACCCTAATATAAACATAGTTTCTCTGAAACCCTAGAGGGACCTGGCACCCAGACCACTTCATTAAGCTGAAGTGGTCTGGGTGCCTATAGTGGTCCTTTAATGCGGTCTCTGGGACGTTTCTTATTGTGAAAAATTTGTAAACCGAAACGTGCTTTCCCATAGGAATGCATTAAAAACTGATTAATCCGTTCTGGAGGTAAAAAAAAAAGTCAAAATGAGTTGGCATGGAAACTAACCCACAATGTAGAACACGCAATAAAAAGCATGCAAACAACAAAGCTCAGCTCCCTACTTTTCCACAGATTGAGAAATGCACCAAAAAGTCCCAAAACAACTGCAAACTATTTCCAGAATGACTCCAAAACGCGATGCCAAAGCCTCTCCAACACCTCCACACTCGACGCCACAGGCTCAAGCATGCAGGGGGTGGTGCAAAAACCTCCTAGGTGCAATGCATCCTGGGGAAACTTGCTTTGTATTGTGAAAAAAAATGTGTAAACCGAGGCATTATTTTCAATGGATTTTCATTTGTAAACCGAGGTCCCACTGTACTTTTGAATGGACATGGCCCCAGATTTTCATCGGGCAGGGCTCGACAAATCCCAGGGCGCCATGGCGCCTAGGAATTTTGCTTTGACGCCTGGGGTATGCAAGCTCCTTACTTCCGGGGAGGGCGGACGGCGGCAAGCTGGGAGATTATGGAGGTGGGCGGCATGCTGGGTGATCATGGAGGTAGGCGGCTAACTGCAAGAAGAGGAGTGCGGCGAGGGAGCTGTGATGTGCCTACTCTTCCCTCCCCTCCCCCGCACGCCGCTTAATAAGACCGGGGCTCTCACTAAGTGGGGGAGTAAATCAGAGACATCACAGCTCCCTCGCCGGCAACTGTACGCGCAGCCAGCCACCTGCAACCACAACCACTTAGCATGACTCCCTCCTCCATTATCCCCCATCTTGCTGCTCGCCTGCACGATCCCCCAGCATGCCACCCACTGGACCCCAGGTACTAAATCAAGGAATAGTGTGTGTGTTGAGGTGACCAGACCCCATCCGTTCGCAAAGGAATTTTTATTCACTTTTTTTCCCACGCTGTGCTGGTCTCCCCTCAACTGGCCATACCTCTATTTCTGAGATTAACAAGTTTGTATTTTTTTCTTAATGTACCACTCTATTAGGAATGCATGCATTGAGTTATAGGAAATTAATGCCAAAACAATATAATGTTTTCCTATATAATTAGTTAATTATACTTTGACTGACTTACCTTTAGATTCATAGCGCACGCTTCTTGCTTTGGCCGCCAGTTCTCCCTTGCCTGAATTCATCATTACAGATGATCTCAGGCAATCCACTGCTTCCCCAGTGAGGGGGGGGGGGGCTAGTGCCCATAGGTGGCAAATGCCAAGTTTCACCAGTCAGCATCTAATCAGAAAGATGTGTTGGCTCCATGGTTCTCTATGGGGAGTGTTTGGGATCTACATGCAGAGCGTGAAGACGCCGAAAGTTGCTCCCGCAAGGACAGCTACTGTCAACCTACAGGATCAAGCTCTTCTTGAACATAATTCACATCATTAAGTTGTAGTTGTCTTTTAAGACAATGGTCTCCAACCCAATCCTCATGGCCCACCAACAGTCCAGGATCACTTGTTTTATTCCAATGGAGATACTGACAAAACCTGGACTGTTGGTGGTCCATGAGGACTGGGTTGGAGACCACTGTTTTAAGAGACTGTCTAAGCTGTCTGATACATTTTTATTATGCAAAAAGGTTGCAGTGGAGAGAGTACTCAGTGTGTCTGCTTACTGTGGGTTTTAACTGAACCAAATTCAAAACTAGTTGCTGCGATGACACTTCCCCATAGATCAAGGGTTGGTCACAGGAACCGCACTCACTCCCAACGGCCACGGGTGCTCTGGAACAGGACCAGCAATCCCAACACGACAAGGCAACAAGAAAAATTCACAGGCACTCCAAATGTGAATGCCGCAGGCAGATTTATTGCAACAAAGTGCACAGCAATGTTTCGAGCTAACAAGAGGTCCTCTTGTTAGGTCGAAACATTGCTGTGCAACTTGTTGCAATAAATCTGCCTGCGGCTTTCACATTTGGAGTGCCTGTGAATTTTTCTTGTTTCCCCATAGATCAGTGCCATTAATACATATAACTTGTGCTAGATCTGCTCGGTGTGTATACACCCCTCTCCTCCCTGGTTAGTGGCTCGGGAGACCATGCAGCCATGTTCACAATTCCTATTGTGCAGTTCCACACACGTTATGTGTGGAAGAATGACTGGGGGCTAAACGACAAATCCTTTTAAACGTCTTGGTAGACAGGTGTTTATGAGAAAAGGAAAAGCCCCAGAATAAGATGATCTCCTTTATGGTATTGGAGAAATCCGCTGCAGTCACTTACATGTGCAAAGCAAGTTTTTAATTAACCCATGGAATGTTCACTTTCCGATCATGCTATTATGTGACATTCTTCACCAAGTTGAGATGTGCTTCTTTTTTATATGCTTTTAAAATAAATATTCCATCTACTAGTTAGGAAAGGCGTAATGTTATAAAGTCAGTTAATTCAAGAAAAAACGTTCTTATATGTAGTATTGTACAAGATACATTTTTTTTGTGTGTGTGTTAATACTCTAGTACTGTTTGCTTCCTTTGGTGGAATTTACCTGTAAAAATCTCGATTGGCTGCATGAACCTTAAAAAAAATTCAAGTTTTTAAAATGATCTTTGTACCATAATTGGCTAGCAAACACCTGGAAGAAAGACTAGAATATTTTGCTGAAATATACCTAATAAAATCACAAACATTATAGGTGCCAAAGATCTCTACTTTGCTAGGACATTTTGCATTTTGGTTTACTGTCCCAGCACAAATGGGTCCGAAAAACCTGTCCCGCATTTTCAAATTTGCCAGATGGTGGGGACTGGGCACTAGGACCATGCACAGACCTCTTCAGCAACACTCAATGCATGAATCCATACCTGGATTCTGTTGCATCCAGGTTCACTGGTGGTATGGACGTAAGAACATATTGGGAGAGATTTTCAAAGTGTTCCTGACACATTTATATGTTTCCTTAACTATGCAATTTACAATGTCTACTAAACTTGATCTTCCACAGATGCTGTAAGAAGCCAAATTACTTGTATTACAATTATCCGAACTTGGCATAGGCTGATCTCTGGATTACAAATAGTCAAATTACTGGGTGTCATTTTTATGCAAATCGAGAGCCCGCAGCAGTCCATGCCCTCTGTGCTGCTTCGGAAAATTTGATTTGTTTAAAAATATCAGCTGCTTGCTTTCAGTCTTGAAGCACCCATTGCTGGTATTACTTTGTATGACTAGCAGGAAGTGTGTTATCTCTGCCTTAGCCATACCACTAGTAGAAGGTGGGCTGTGTGTGGCCAGGGACCTTTTTTTAGCATTAACCTGTTTTAACACTGAATGAAGAGACAGTGGCAGATAACTCCAGACACTATATCCAATTCAATAAGGTGAAATTGTTATAGTGCCTACATATCATCTGGCACAAATGGATACTCGTTTTCCTGGCACCATAGTTCCCTGAGGGTGCCCCCACCCTCAGGGTCCCCCTCCCGCCGGGCTCTGTGGTGAGGAAGGGGTTAAAATCTTACCTTTCTCCAGCGCCGGGCGGGGAGCTCTCCTCCTCCTCCATAGTGATGTCATCGGCTGAATGCGCATGCGCGACAGGAGCCGCGCGCTCATTCAGCCAGTTCATAGGAAAGCAGTTCATAGGAAAGCATTACAATGCTTTCCTATGGACGCTGGCGTCTTCTCACTGTGATTTTCACAGTGAGAAGCACGCAAGCGCCTCTAGCGGCTGTCAAGAGATAGCCACTAGAGGTTGGATTAACCATATTATAAACATAGCAGTTTCTCTGAAACTATGATTATAAAAAAAAAAAAAGGGGTTAATCCTAGATGGACCAGGCACCCAGACCACTTCATTAAGCTGAAGTGGTCTGGGTGCCTAGAGTGGTCCTTTAAAAGAACACTATAGGGTCAGGGACACAAACATGTATTCCTGACCCTATAGTGTTAAAACAACCATCTAGCCCCCTGGCACCCCTAAATATAGTAAAATCTTACTTTTATTCAAGTATGTTGCTGATGGCTTTGCGCCTGATCTGCTTGCTTGGCTAACATCATCAGACATGATGTTCTGAGCCGCGATAGGAAAGCATTGGATTGGGTGAGACTGCCATTGGAGGCAGATTAAGAGCAGAGCCAGCCCACGCCAAACACAGCCCTGGCCAATCAGCATCTCCTCATAGAAATGCATTGATTCAATGCATCTCTGAGGAAAGCTCAGTGTCTACAAGCGGAGGGTGGAGCCACTGAAAGGCAGCAAGCACTTCTAGTAGCCATCTGAGCAGTGGCCATTGGAGTTATCCCTAAGCTGTTATGTAAACACTGCATTTTCTCTGAAAAGACATTGTATACTGCAAAAAGCCTGAAGGGTATGATTATACTCACCAGAACAAATACAATAAGCTGTATTTGTACTGGTGACTATAGTGTCCCTTTAATGACTTGTTTTTAGTTCTCTTATTTTTGGTTACTGTCCCAGTAAACTAAAACATTGCACATACAGATTTATAGCACTCTAACTATTTGATATTGCTGACGTGGCTATGATTGTTGGAGTAATCCTTTCATGAGTAATATAGGAGATCTTTTGTTTTTGTGTATTGAGGTGGTTGTGGTACCAAATGCTAGCATTTAATTTCTCTAATTTGTCAAACTGAAAAAAGAGCTTGTAATTCTAGTGAAAAACCCTGCTATTCAGAGACCCTGACATTACACTGAAGTAGTTATAGTGACTGGAGTGCTGTCTTTTAATGTTTTAATGCTAAACGAGTGTCCGCAGCAACCCCTCCCCCTCTATTCTGGCTGGACTAATAAGGAAGGTTTAGCCTGAGCAGCAATGGATGGCTGTGATTGGCTGAAAGCAGTCCGAATATCACAATGCCTATTGTTGGTACGAATTAGTATGACTAAATTATTAAAGGGGTAAGAGTGTCCCTTTTACGTCTGTATTTTGTTGGTTGGAGAAAATTAGTCAAAACACTGGCACCATAACCTTTCAATACGCTTAGGTGGTTATGCTGCTTAGATGCAGGAATGATTGAAATTTGAGTAAATTCTAACAGTTGAGTAGTGGATCAACTCTTGTTGCTGAACCATGAATCCTTTGTTTGCATATATATATACATACACTGTCCTTAGTAGAGGCAAATAAAATTGAATAATATAATAAATAAGATCATGTCCATTACTCTTTTTTTAACATTTAAGTTCAGATATCAAAGATAGGCTAAACTTATAAGTCAAATTGGCTATTGAGAAGTTTCAGAAGGTGAAGCAAAATTTTTTTTTTTTTTTGTGTGCTTATCCTTGGGGTTCCCGTTGTTGGGATATTTAGTCAGTAGAGAACAGGCATAGCAGAGTAAAGTCTTTGTGCTCTGGAATACTTAGTACAGATAGCTAGTAAGACCAATGAGAGTCAGTTTTTTTTTTTCCTTCTCGTAACATTTAGGAGTCTGGAAACCGTAAACGTCATGTTGTAGAAAGATGCTTGCAATTCCTTTAACAATCACCTGCTACTGAGGGGCCTGGACAGTCATTTGAACGGAAAAAAATTCCATCTTTCATTTGTGTGCGAGGGCGATGTGCTGTCCCTGGGGACAGGGGACTTGTGTATAAAATATAGGTGATTTTGTCCTTTCAACCCAGGTCTTTATTGTCCCTCTAGGGTGAGTTAGGGCAGAAATTGATTCCTCCCCCACATGACTGCAGGTAATTGTCAGTTCCTGATTGTGTGGTGATGTTACGGAGATCCCTGGACTGTCCACTCAATCCCAAGCAAGTGGGATCGGTGTGGCAGTTTTTGGGGGGAGAAAAAAGGTGAAAATGGATCCCCCCCATGACGAACTGGGTTCATGATACACCCTCGGGCGAAACCTATGGATTTGGTTTTGATTACTTGGCATACAAAGCAGAATAAAACTTGCATCGAATACTTGGTTTTAATATCTTTCTGGCTCCCTCTGCTAAAAAATAAAGAAACCAAAATTCAGTGTGATAAAAATGCAACAATGCAAATCATGAAAATGGTCAAAAAGTAATTTTTTGTTTACGTTTTATGCAAAGGTTGAGTGGGTGTGTGTTTATTTATGTATAAGCATCTGGTTATATCTTTATGAAAGCATTTATAGGCAAGTCAGTGTCTTGCTATGTATATGTGATTTGTCTAATTGTGTGTGAGTGCGTAGTTAGTTCAGCACTAATGGCAGAGGCAAGGGAGCTGTGATCTTCCTGTTCTTCTTGCTGTGTTCCCTCCCCGCCCCCCCAAAAAAACATGCGAGTGTATGAGAAAATGTGTGTGTCTCTCATTGAGTGTGTTTTTACTCACCTTTATTCCCTTGCCGAGCCAGTCTCGCTAGGCAAAACTATGTGCATCTTCTCATAGAGATGCATTAAATCAATGCAGCACTGGACAAAGAAGCACCTCTAGTGGCCATCTGTGTTATGAGACAGTAGTGTAAGCACTGCCTTTTGTTCTGAAAAATATTAAAAAGTGTGCATTGACAGGCTATACACACCAGAACTATTACATTAGGCTGTAGTGGTTCTGATGACTATAGTGTTCCATTAAGAATTGTATATTTATTTATTTA